TTTTTTTTTTTTTTTTTTTTTTTCCGGTACTAGGGATTGAACTCAGGACCCTGTGCTTGCCAGGGAAGCACTTATTCTACTGAGCTAACTCCCCAACCCTCTTAGGCCTTGTTTCTTCCATCTGATTTTTCATTTTTCTGTGCTACACAGAACTTTCTCACACATGTGCTTCAATTATTGGGGTGAATACTGACACCTTCTGCTGAGGGAGGGGTCTGGGGCCAAACTGACAGATAGTGACCTGCTGCCCACCTTGCCCAGCTCAGCTGCTTGGCCAACCTTGCCTCCCGGCTCAGTCTGCAGGATGACTTTGCACTCCACCCACCAGACCTCCTGCTTTTCTACAAGTGAGTGTCCACCCCATGGCTTCTCAGCCACTCAGGATATCCTGCCGCCAAGGGCTGAGCTGCCTCTTCCAGGCTCAGGCCTCCCTTGTGTCTTCCCATCTACCTGCAGCCTGAGCCAGGTGAGGGAAGCCGACTGCCGGGCCTTCACCCGTCGCGCAGCCCAAGGGAACACAGAGCTGTTGGCCAACCTACCTGATCAGAGGGTTGCCCTGTGGCATACAGCCTTAGCCTGCCTGGTAGGTACCTTAGCTGGGAATCGAACAGCCATACCATGGAGCCAGGCCTCCTGCTTAACACTGATCTGCTGTCCCCACAGGGGGGACCCCACCTGCAGCTCAGTGCCTCAGACCTGGGGCTCCTTGGGGTCCTGGTGTGTGACATGGATGCATCCAGCATTGTGACTGCAGACCCCCATGTGCTGCAGAACCTGTTTCGCTGCTCCCGGCTGAGCACCTCCCAGCAGACTGCCCTCAACACCCTCCTGGCCAGTGGGAGGACCCAGCTTGGGTGGGTGAGGCATTGGGTGAGGCTAGTGACTCTTCCTTGAGATGAAATGTGGCAGCATGGGTGTGGGCTCATGTGGTCACAGGTGTCTATAGTCCTGCTGATCTCTGACTTCTGACTATGGCCCTCAGCCTCACTGTGACCCTGTGGGCGCAGGGTTGCATGTCCTCAGCAGGACAGACCCCATGAACTGTGGACACTGCCAGGAGGCTGAATGCACCTGAGAACCCACTGGATACTCCTCATGCCCTGCTCAGAGGGGTAGGTGGCATAGGACGAGGTGCTGTCCCACACCCTGACATGATTCCCTTCCTGTGTACTAGGACTCCCAGCTCCTGGAATGTGGAGGGGCTGCAGGCCCTGGGGCCCCTGGCAACCTACATCAGCCCCCACCTGTGGGAACAGGTGCAGGAGGTACAATGAGGTGGAGGTGGGGGAGTGTGGACTGGGATGCATCCAGCTATCCCCTCAACCAGCCTGTCCAAGTCTGAGGCCACTCTAAGGCCTGAATGTGGGCTCCTATAGGGTGGGACGAGGGACCAGACTGCTGCATGATATGAAGCCACCAAGCCTTTCCTTCCAGGCTGTGGGCCTAGACTTCTTTCGCAGAGTGGTGGCCGCCTTCCGGGTAGGACACTTCAGTCAGTCTGATGCCCAGCGCTTTGTCACCAGCTTCTTGGAGTCGAAGACCAGCTCAGTGTCCTCAAGGCCCAAGCGGGGCACAGGTCAGTGTGGCCATGGTGGCCTGAGGTGCTATGTCTCCCCCAGTCTGGACTTCTCATCCTGGCCTGGTTGGGACCAACCTCTGGGTTAGAGGTCAAGGTTGCAGAGCAAGTCAAAGTCTGATTAAGGCCCAAAGTAGAGATCGGGCTCAAAGGTGGGCTCTCAAAACCAAGTGCAGTGGCATAAGCCTGTAATGCCAGCTTTCTGGGTGGCTGAGGGAGGAAGTTCAATCCCAGGCTGGGTAATTTAACACCTTAGCAAGATCCTGTCTCAAAATAAAATAAAAAGAGCAGGATATGTAACCCAGTGTAAGGGTCCTGCGTTCAATTCCCAGGACCACACACACACACAAAGATGGACCCAACACAGGAGGCAGAGATCAGCTGGGGCTCGGCCAACCTCTGGGTCATCAACATGCCTTGCAGGGAGATCCTGCATTCGTGGCAATATCACAGCGGCCACACTCCAGGATGACCTCTTCCTGGTGCACTACGATTGTGCCCAGCTAGAGTCCTGTCTGGGCAACGGAGTGCTTAGAGCCAACCTGGACCCCCTACTGCAACACCCACTGCCTGCTGAGTGCCAGCGTGTTGTCAAAGCCAAGCTCACTCAGGTGTGTGGTGGGCAGGGCAGGCAGGTATGAAGGGGCACAAGCATAGTCACTGATGCCACCACCTGCCCCAGATTTACCCATATGGCGTGCCTGAGGACCAGCTGCACCTCATCACCTCACTGGTCTACCTCTACTCCTGTGCTGAGATAGGCCAATGGAACATCACATCTGGGGGCACTGTGGTGGCCCTGCTAGCTTCAGACGTGGCCCTGGAGAACCAGACAGAGGTGAGCGCATGGAGCTGTCTGTCAACCTGGCCCACAAACCCCCAACCCTACAGATGCCAACCCCACTGACCCAATACCCCTGGCATGGGCCCCCTGACCCTGACCCACTGACCCTGACCCCTGAACCTGGCCCCATTGACCCCAGCCTGCTAACCCTGGCCCCCTTCCAGGCAGTCCTTCAGAGGTTCCTGGACCACAATGGCATGGTCACTGGTGCCCTACTGTTGGCTATTGGGGGTTCCCGCCTCTGCTGGATGAGCCCCAGGCAGATCCACACCATCCAGCCCTCAGAGTTCCGGTGAGCTGCCCAGCCAGTCCTCTACCTGCCAAGGGTCACAAGGGGAAAATGAGGCTCAAGTGAAAAGTCCAGTCTTGGCAGGCCATTGGAGCTATATGGTCTCTAAGGGTCACGGTAACAAAGTACTACAGACTGAGAGTCTTAAAATGAGAAATTTATTCTCCAGAACCAGAGACCAAAAATGCAAAGCCAAGGGGACAGCAGGGCCAGCCCTGCAGGAAAGCTCTTTCCTGCCCTGAGCTCCAGTGTTGCCCACAGGCCTGGAGCCTGCACATGTATCCCAGCAGGCCCCACCTCATCTTTGGTGGCTCCTCCCTGTCTCAGTCAAAACTCTCCTGTTCTCATGAGGAAGTTAGGCACTCTATTTAGAATCAGCTTAATCTAATCTGACTTCATCTTTTAATATGATTTTATCCACACTCTATTTCCAAATAAGTTCATAGTCTGAGGTTCCAGGTAGGCAAATATTTTAGGTGAACATAAATTTTAGGGGGATACTATTCAAACCAGGATACAGGACAAGAGGAAAGTTGTGCTTTGGGGAAAGTGGCCCATCCCCAACAGTGTGGAGGTCACAGAGCTCTGGCCTACTCATCAGCACCTGCTACCCACCAGGCTGGCTGGGGCCCCGGACCTCTCCTCTTGCCCTCAGAGCCGGAAGAATGTGCTCTTCGCCAAGGCCCGTGAGGCCTTCAGCAACACCAGTACCACAGCTGACTACTACCGCCTCATGCGCCCTTACCTTGGTGAGACCCTGCCCTGCATGCATCATCCTCCATGGGAGCTCCCAACCCTCATCCCTCACCACTGTCCCCCAGGTGGTGCCCCCATGGAGGAGCTGCAACACCTGGCCCAGGCCAACATCTCCATGGACATTGACACCTTCACCAACCTCAATCCCCATGTGCTGCAGGTGGGGCCTGAGTGTCTGGCAGGTGGTGGGAGGCAGGGCAGGACCTTGGGCCCCAGGCCTACATGCCCCACAGTCAGAGGAGTACAACCACTGTGGGTCCCTGTCACTCTCCAGGCTGGCCCTGCACCCACCCCATCCACATCATTGCCTGGTCCAGGGAGATACACTGATCTCAAAGGATTTTCCCTTGGACCCCCCACACAGCCCCCTGGCTTCCCTCACAGTGTCTGAGTGTTGGCAGTGTGACCACGCTGCTGGGCGAGAATGTAGGGGACTTGCAGAAGGCCCGCAGTCATCCGACCGTCAGCTCCTGGCTGCGCAGCCTCAACAGATCAGCCCTGGGTGAGCTGGGCCTGGACACCAACTTGGCCAGTGCGAGCCCTGACCAAAGGTCCAGCAGACTCCCCAGCACTACCTGCCCAGTGTCGCATCTGGCCACCCCCTCCAGACTTCCAGGGATCATCAATGCAGCCCCCACCTCAGGTACAGCCTGAACCCCTCACTGCCCACTGTAGGCCTCTAGCTGTTTCCAGTTCTCATCTCAGATCTCCTCTCCCATCTGCCTCCTGGGTGACTGCTGGGTGACATTGGTGTGACCTTTCATTGCCTGCTGAACCATTTAGGGACACAAATGCACCCCTCTAACTGTGCCAAACAGCAGAAAGTGGGGCTGGGAGAAGTTCCTCAATCCCTCTTGAACGTGGAAGAGCTTCCATAAGTGGAGGCCCATGCTGGTCCTCTCCAGCTCAGAGAGGCTCTGGACAATACTGACAGGCCCCTCTTCTCCCCTCTAGGCAGTCCACCACTCAACCTGGCATACCTGACCCTCGCAGTGGCATTGCCCTCCAGCCTTTTGTGGCTACTATTTCTTGGGCACCTCAGGCCCAATGCAGCATGATCATGCAGCAGCAGGACCCTGGCCACTGCAGACAGCCCTAACCCATGGTGACCACGCCCATGGGCATCACATACAGGATAAACAGAGCTGCCAGTAGGAGCTGGTTGCCTGCCCAGACAAGGTGCAGCCCTTTGCCTAGGAGACCTGTGGTGTCCCTGTAGTAGGAGGTACACAGGTTTGGTCCTATATACCTCAGCTCCCAGGATCAACATCTATGAAGAGATGGAACCTGCCTAGCCACAGGCCCTGGGGATAAGGCCAGGTCCTGTCCAGGATACCTGGAACAGATAGAGCTTTGATTTAACTGCTCTTGAGGGTAGATCTGAATAAAGTATAAAGCTAACCACTGCCAGTGTTTTTCCTGGGACATAGTAGGAGCACAAAGACCCTCCTCCAGATACCATTTAGCTGGGGACTTGGGAACAAGACTACTACCACTTTGGGAACAAGGCCACCAGGAAGGCCACAGATAGTCCTCTTTGGCTTGAAGCCCCACCCTTATGCCCATCTTCCAAACATTGGGAGGGGAAAACCCAGTCTCCTTCAGAAGTTACAGAAAGCTCCAGATTCATCCCCACCTAGTCCTGGGAACGGCACAGAGCTTGTCTGCAGAGGGATGGGCCAGTTTATTGAATTCAGATGCCCTTGGGAAAGACAATGATCACCTGGGCCTGCTCCCCCATAGTGGAGCTCCACAGTGGGCAAGGGCCAGGGGCGTTGGAAATGGTAGCCTCAGTTCAGAGTCCCAGCCACAAGCAGAACCAGGGTCAATGCCAGCACAAGTCCAGATGCAAAGAGGGGGGTTCCTCCAGAGAAGGCCTCTGCATGAAGAGGGGTAACTCAGACCCTCCCTCCTCCTTGCACACCAACTCTGCCCCCAGGCTGCCCTAGCCCACCTCGTCGTGAGTTGAAGTCCAGGATCATGTAGCCATTGGGGATACCACCACGGAGCCCCAGCCCCAGCCTATCCAGGTCTTCCTGCCACTGCTGGAAGATCCATTCCTTCACAGGACTGTTCCTCTCCTCTGCCTTCAGGTCTGCCATGTGTGGTCCCAGAAGGTTTTGTACCTCAGCCACAGTCAGCCGCTGCCAGGGCACCAGGCAGTTATCAGGGGCTCCAGGTTACCCAGGATTCTGGGACTCCATTTTGCACAGAGCACCCATGTCTCCTGGGCACAAGAAGCCTGCCTGGGGTCCAACCAGACTGCCTGCTTCACTAGCAGGCCTTGATTCTAAGGCCCCACCAATGCTGCGCCCACCATGAGACCCCACCTCCTTGAGGCTCCACCCCTCTTACCTCCACAGTCTTGACTGGCAGCTTCTTAAACGTGGTCAAGCTCATGTTTACATTCTGGCGGCTGAGGACCTGCAAGTCCTTTAAGGAGGTCCCACCTGATCAGAGGGAAAAGATCCCAAGCTCAGACCTCACCATATACACATACCCTAGTCCTATCCTCTCATCACAGCTAAAGAGAGCCCACCTTTTGTGTGTGTGTGTATGTGTGTGTGTGTGTAAGCACAGATTGAACCCAAGAGTGTCCTACCACAGAGCTACATCCTCAACCCTTTAATTTTTATTTTGAGACAGTTATAAATCACTAAATTGCCCACACTGGTCTTTGACTTTCAATCCCCTCTTGCCTTGGTCTTCCAGAGTGCTAGGATTATACCATGTGTCCTGGGCCTGGCTGAAGCCCACCTTCTTTACAGCAATTCCCTTCCTCCTAAGGAATTCTAAGTCTAGCTTTGCCTGGCCAGGAGAGGGTCAGTCCCCTAGCAAGGCAGAATTCACAGCTTCTCACATGTTTTAAGGGGCACCCCTGCCTCATAAAACGTGCTGCATTGAGGCACTGGCCTATAAGGGACATCTTGACCCCCTGGCTCACCCAGGAAAGGCTCGATTTTCCTGAAGTACTCTGGCCTGCTCACATTCTGGAATGCCAAGCAGGCCTTGGGATAGAGAACATTCAGCTGCTTTGAGCTGCATGAGTCCAGGTCCTGAGGCCTGACTGCCCTGGAAGTGGAGTAAAGTAGACAGTGAGTAGGGGGGTTCAGTATGCCCACCCAGCCTCACAGAGCTGCTGTGACTCACCACAAGAGGCTGACAGGCACAGACCCCATCTGCTCAGGACTGAGGGCACACAGGTAGGTGGGATAGAAGCCATCCAGGACATCCAGAGTATCTTTGTCCAGCTGGCCACTCCCCTGCAGGTAGCGGGTAATCAGGGTGACCACCTGTGGAAAGAATACATTTAGCTGGGGCCGGGGAGATGGCTCAGTAGAATAAGTGCTTGCCTGCCAAGCCCAAGGGCCTGAGTTCAATCCCCAGTTCCACAAAAAAAAAAAAAAAAAAAAAAAAAAAAAAAATACATTTAGCTGCCTTGGGCCAGTGAGCAATATAACCCTGCCAGCCCCAGCTTCACACCCTCATGTCACAGACACTCCCCCAAGGCAAATGGTCACCTTAGTGTCCATATTTGGCCTTTTGCTGACTTTGAGCAGAGCTTTTAAGGTGTTGAGGGAGGTCACATTCCACTTCTGAATGTCCTCAGGGCTCATGAGGTTGAAGAAGTAGCCCAGGCTCAGGACCAGGGACTCAGGGTAGCCTTGTGGGTAGGCCTATGAGGGAAGTGACTGTGAGGTTCAGAGACCCTCCCTGGTGACTGGCAGAGTCCTGGGGACAGTAGGTAGGCAGGAGCCCCCAGAAGAAGCTACCTCATCCAGCTTGCGCTTAAAGATGTGGAGCTGCTGGTAGGTAAAGGGGATGGCATTCACTCGGTCCATCTGGGCTGCCAGCAGGGCACCATCCATGCAGGCCTCCAGTTCCCAGTTTTCATAGAAGAAGAGCTCTTCCTCCACCTCCTGGGGCTTCCGCCCTGGAGGACAGAACTTCTCTGCAGGACAAGTGAGTGTGAAGGGCCATCCTGATCCTTTCAAATTTACCTCAGTTTCCCCACTAGCAAAATGGGGTGATTGTGCTCACTCTGTGAGGTTATGCTTGAGCCAACTGAGGAGCCAGGCGGGGTTGTAGATTGGGGAAGGAGAGACTCTCCAATGCCACACCCCAGCCTGACCCAGCAGGGTGTGGGGCTCACCCACTGTGCTCCGTTTGAGCCTCACAAGGATGGTAGTCAGCTCTGGCCATTGCCCAGATGGCTCCTGGGAGGTACGATGCAGCCAGGCATCTGTGATCCCCTGAGGACAGGACAGGGTGGCTCAGCTACACAGGGCCAATGGCTCCACAGGCACCCTGAGGCTGAGTCTCACCTTGGGGATGGTACAGATGATAGAGTGGTCCAGCACAGCCAGCAGGTTCTGCAGGGCATCCAACGTGGAGACCGACCACCTTGATGGGGGGCTGTCCAAATACAGGAGCTTAGCTCAAGGAACACTCCCCCAGTCCAGCTCCAGACAGAGAGGGAAAGGGATAGAACCAGAGCTGGGTGCCTCCCCTGCAGAGATGCTATGAAGGGGATCCTGATGAACACAGACAGGGTGTAGCAGGGTATAGCAGACTCTGAACTGCCCAATGCAGATGAGGATGTCCTTGGACACAGCTGCCCTGAACCACCAACCCAAGCACCCTTCAAAGTCCCAGACACCCCTCCTCACCCATAGGGTGTTTCTCCACCCTGCAGAGCTGCCCTGGCTGCCTCTTGTTGATCCTGGTCCAGGGGTCCTGGGCAGGCTGCCAGCCGGGGGAGGACGACTGCCGCAGAGTTGGCAACAAAGTGCCCAGGCAGGTCACAAGCTAGGCCTCCCAGGGCCTGCACGTTGTCCTCAGTCACCCGAGACCCCTGAACACCCTGCATAGACAATAGGCCTCAGAACCTCTGGGGAACCACCAAGCCCCTTCCTTACCGCCTTGCCCCTGGCTCCATCCAGTACCTGGCAGGCCAGAGCTGCAAGCAGCAGCCGCCGCCGCTCAGGAGCCCCCCGCGGGAGCACATCCACATTGGCCTTGGCGATGCCGGAGAAGAACTGGGTACAGGACTGGGGGCCCGTAAAGAAGTCTGGGCTGCAGAGGGAGGGTGGGTGCTGGAACCAGCCCTGCAGACTACTGAACACACCTACCTGAGGGCTGACCCAACTGAGGCCCTGAGTCCCTGTGCTTCATGGGGGATTGAGGCACCCAAGCCTGGAGGGTGTCCCTACTTGAAGAAGAGCAACATATCCTCTGGAAAGGCGTCCAGGTTCTTGGGGATGAGGTGCTTGGAGAAGTGAAGTGCCAGACAATGTAGCTGCCAGGAGACCAGAAATCCAGCTCAGAAAGTTCTGGACTACTATCCTAAAGATGGCCTAGGGGCCCCTGGTTGATCCCACCGCACACTTCCCATGCTGGCCCTGTGCCCTTCTCACTTGGAGTTGTTCCCCTGAGAGCTATCCTGCTAGAACACAAAGCACATAGGTGCTGGCCAGCAGGCCTCTCCCCACTCTACCTCTTGCCTCTTACACCCATTGTGAGCCATGTTTTAGAGAACATGGCTACCAGAGCTGGCTCTGATGCTCTAGAGGGTATAGCTAGGTCACCTCAGATTTGCTCCCAGAGAACTAGAGCCAAATGGAGAAGGGCACCCTCATAATCAGTCAGGTGGCTGAGAAACTCTGCAAAGCATCAGAAACCCTGAGTGGTCAGTGGTGTGGTAGCCCTGAGACTACCAACTCCCTAGCCTCCCCTGCCCTGCCTAAGGACTGACCTGATCCACTCGGAGTGTGACATTCTTCTGCTTTATGGCCATGGCCAGCTCTTGGGCGCGCTCAAAGCTCATGCTAGACACTTCCATACAGGTGAAGTCACCAAGAAGGCTGGGGTCAAGGCTGGAGGCAGGCCAGAGGTATGCACAGGGCTTCCTTACCCCCATATCACCCCCAAAACGGACCTTGTGCAAATCTTGGAGGGCAAAGAGTCACCATCCTCTACACAGGCAATCCATTCCCCAACCCCAATCCCAGCTAGGCAGAGAGGACATGGGAGGACATAGGTTCATGTACTTGAGCATTTAGGCTTGGCCAGGACTCAAGCCCCCCAGAGCCCTTGATGACATGGGGTCCTGAACTTACCTGGCAAGATCACTCTTGTTGGCCAAGACTGGGTTGAGGAATATAGCCTCCTGGGGAACAGGGCCCAGATGATGGCTCCCCCGGCAGGAGCCTCTCAGGCCTAGCTGTTCCTGAGCCCAGCTCCCTGCTGGGACCGTGTCTTGGGCTCATGGCTTAAATGCTTCCTGATCCAGCCCCTCCAGACTCAGACATGCCCTTGCAAGTGGATACCACTGAACTCCAGTAGATTTGTGCACATCCCCCACCCACAGGCAAAGCTGAGACCTCCACCAGAACCAGAGGGCCCTGCCATTCCCCAGAGGACCTCACCTGCTGGGTCATAACTGTCTGGGCCCTCGGAGGCTGCACCCACCCTGCAGGGTAGAGGATATAAAATGGAGGGGAGGACCAGGGTTTCTGAAGTGTGCCAGACCTTGAGGAGTGAGGAAGCAAAGGCAAGCCTCTCTCTGGCCCAGCCATTTGTATGCCCCACAAGGTGTGGGACCCCATGCCATCATGACCCATGTGACTGGAAACAGGGTCCAAGTGGACCTCATTGTGTTCAGTCAGATGCTCATCCCCTTGGGATTGAGCCTCCTGCCCAGAGCAGAAGTGAAGGCCTTGGGGGACAGGGAGCCTCTCCCCAGGGTCTGACCTGCTAAGGGCCTTGGGTTGCATTACCCCCTCCCCAGTTCTACACCATGAAGACAACAGCTGTAAACTCACCCAAGCTGAGGAGCAGCAGAAGGCTGCTGTGGGTGAAGATCTTGCAGGATCTCAGGAGAAGTCGAGCTATTGACAAGGCCATATCTGTGAAAGAGAATGACTCTTATGCCCCCAAGATCTCCCTGGCTTCATACCCAGCACTGTCCCCGCACAATGAGGGACCTCTGGAACTAGGGAGCTCTAGTCAAACCTTCTTTGAGGGCACTTGAAGCAGCATCTGGCTATTTTCCCTGCTGTGCAGCCTGCCCGGCTCCACCCCTCAGGAAGACGCCCTTGGCCGGGTGGGTCTGGGTCTGAGCCAGCCCAACCCCCAAGCATGAGCTCTGAGGCAGGCAGCAGCACCCCTCATCAGCTCTCCTCCCAGGGCAGAGCAGGGTAGGGTGGGTTACTTCCAGGGACAGAGTTGCTTCCCACTCAAATTGCCCTTGTTTTCCCCCAGAGAGATTGACCAATTGGGGCTGGCATTGTATTGCTTGGTCCCTCCTTGCCCCTTCCACTGCAGGTACCTGCACTTTGGGAAACCTGAAGGGGCTGTTCTCCACTAATCCCATGGGCATATGGCTTTTCTAACCCTACTTGCAGGTGCAGATCCCATAAGGGAGCTTAGGGACCTGTGGCCAGCATGGCTGGAGGCTCCTCCCTGGAGAAATACTATCTTCTTAGGGTCCGAGTAGAGCCTGTGCCCCACCCCAGGTGTATCCCACCATGGCTCAGAAACAAGGGACCCTCCTACAGCCATGCTTCAGCCACCTGTTCACCGATCTGAGCTGTCTGAAGCAGTCTGGTGGTAGGGTACCTGGGAGCTACAAGGCCTCCAAGTAACATGCCCTCAGCCCCCCTCAAGGTGGGGGAGGCACAGAAAGTCAGGCCCCTAGCCAGTGAACAAGAAACAAGGTAGGCATGGATAGGCAAGAAGCCCCCCACACATGTCCCCCAGAAGCAGGACACTATCTCTTCCCCCACATGGCCCCAGGGACTCCCAGCACCCACATCCAGAATGGCTGCAGCTCTCTCCTTGTCAAAGCCCACTGAAGGTAGAGTCCAGAGCATACTTAGGGTCCAGGTGAAGCCTGTCTCAGCTCAGAGTACATGAGCTTACGTGTGAAATGGGGCAACATCCCAGGTAACCTGTCTAGAATTATTTCTAAAAACACTAGGTTCATGGTCCTGGTAGGGCAGCCCAGGACAGGCACCAAGACAGTTCCATCCCTTATCCTGTGTTCTCTAGGAACACAGACCCACTGCTCATTAGCTATTCATACACTTACTGAGCACCTACTATATGCTGGGCCTGTCGTGGTAACAATTCCCCACGGAGGGTCTGGGGCTTGAACAGACACAGGCCTCTTGAAGTGAAGAGGCCCTGTCTGTGGCACAGTGGTCAGTTCCTAGCTGGGCAGGTGGGAGGCTGCAGGACTCCACTTAACTCTCCAGTCCACCTGCCCCTACCCCACCCCTCAGGTGTCTAGCCCAGCCAGATCCCAGGTCTGGCCCCCAAGTGGTAGAAAATGAAGCCAGACCACATTCCTTGTTGAGGTCAGGCCTCAGTGAGGACAGGTAGAAGAATGCAGTGTACAGACAGGACCCCAACACACAGCCATCTGCTCCTACCCTCAGCAGAAAGATGCTGAATGGTTGGCCAGGACCACACACCGGCTGAGAGCAGAAATTACTCCTAAAAGTGGCAGGGAAGAAAGGTCCTTGCTGTTCCCCCTTGTGCATGGAGGGGGCCCCAGGTTGGGCAGGGACTTGCTGGTCCCTCCCCTGGAAGGTCCCAGTACCAGTCAGAGCCCTCCCCTGCTCCCACCCAGGGCGGCTGGGTTGAGGTACCAGGCAGTGCTGGTGTGGGTGTCTCCACACCTCTCCAACATACTCATTCCCATGCATGCACATATACGTGGACACACATGTGACCTGGATCTTGTCCCCCAGCCCACATTAATCAGCCCCTTGTGAGCCTGGGTACTGAGCTCAATCTCAGAAAATATGAAAAATTAATGGCCGCCTACCCACCCTCCAGCTAGATTAGATTCTGTCCCTGAATGGCCAGCTGACTGTTCCCACGGACATAGAGCTTATAGTGACCCATCCATGGGATGCTCCTTTACTCACTGACTAGATGTTTATTGTCACCTGGGCAAATGCCCTGTGGCTCTTGTCCGACTTTCACTTTCGGGCCCCTTAAGTCCCTCACCACTATCATCCTGCAAAGCTGACTTGAGGCAGCTCCTGGTTCTCCCAGTGGAAGGGACAGATTCGGCACCACCAAGGAAATAGGGGTAGGGACTTGTCCGGGTCACAGATCCTGGGTAGGAGGCAGACACAGGAGAAAGAAAAAATCAAGCAGAGCAGGTAGCATGTGTGGGAACAGGGTGTGGGTCACTGAGTTCTTGGCAAGTGCAGGTTGAACTCTTTAAGGCAGGATAGGAAGTGGGAGTGGGGCTGCCAGGCAAGAGGAGTGGCTAGCTTGAGCTACTTGGGGGGGTATCCTGATGCCCATATAGCCCCAGGTCCCTGATGTCCAGGGGGTGGCCCCTTCCCAGGGTCTAAACCAGCCCTGCAGCTGGAGTTGCTGCCAAACCTGCGTGACAAGGGAGCCTTTGCCTACTTGGTCTCACTTTCCACACCTAGGAGGTGGGCTTATAGGGATCCTGGAGCCTCCCTGGCTGACCAGAGCAGCTAAGGAGGCTTCCGGGATACAGCCAAGGGGAGAGGCAGCTGCTCACGCAGCAGGAATGTGTGGGTGGAGACCTTTAGGAAGAGCTGCAGACGGGGCAGGGGTGAAGGTGCCTCGGGAGGAGGAGGGCTGCCTTGGTCCTCATCTTTGTGGAGATAAGAGTCCTAGGCTCAGGCCTTGTGGGGCTTTTAAATATCCATTTCTTGGGAGAAAACACTGAGAGAGCAGAGTGGGCCCGGTCACTGGGCAAAGCAAGGGTGTGCTCTTCTGGCTGAGCCAAGGTGAGCTCTGCAGGCCCCAGAGGCTGTGTAGTAGCCACGCAGCCAGCCACGGCTCCCAGGAGCACAGGCCACAGGGAGCAGGGGTGCATTTCTTCAGATATATTACCAACTCAAACCCATATGGTGTGGACATCACCGTGACTCTGCAATGAACAGATGAAGCGTGATGGAAGGGAATCAAAACTGGGTCCAGGACTAGCCCAGATACATACCTCAGTGGACCACAGTAATTACAATAGACCTGCATAGCCTCACAGGCTGGAAACCTAGAGGTGAGGTGGGGCCACTGTCCAAGGCATGGTTGCCCTTCCTGGATTTAGATCACAGTCTGGGTGGGGTGACCTTGAAGCTAAAAGTCCTGGTTTTCCCTCCAGCCTCTGCAATAATGTATGAGACCAACTTCCAATGCGGAATGTGTCTCTGTTTTTAATGCCTACAAAAGGGGCTAGGGTGCAACTCAGTGGCAGAGAATACTTAGCACGCGTGAGACCCTGGTTCTGCCTCTGGAATCAAAACCAGAAATCTTCTAATAGCTTCTATTTGCTGAGCTGATTATACAAAGCACCTCTCTCTGACCTTGTTATTGACTGGGTCCTCGGTTATATGCAGTTGAGTCAATCCGAAATTAACAGTGAATTGAGCCAGGTACAAAAAAAAACTAAAAAAAAAAAAAAAAAATCCATTTACAGCCCAGGATTACAGTAAGTTCCTAGCTGGTGTGGGCTACACAGTGAGCTAGCCTGAGCTACGTAGTGAGACTGTCTCCAAAACAAAAGAAAACAAAACAGAAGCATCAGCTTACAAAAGTCAACAGAGCATTTTTTTTTTTTTTTGGGTAATCTCTTCCATACAAAATAATTGAAAAAAAGCTGATCAAATTATGAGTAATGAGATGGAAAATGTCCATTTTTTTATTATAGAATTCAATAATTGAATACAAACCAGGTACAGTAGCATATACCCATTAGCATATACCCATAATACCACCTATTCAAGAGGCTGAGGCAGGGCCGGGGAGATGGCTCAGTAGAATAAGCGCTCCTCTGGCAAGTACAAGGCCCTGAGTTCAATCCCTGGTTCCTTTAAAAAAAAAAAAGTGCTGAGGCAGGAGGCTCAGCCAGGGAGTAGCAAGACTTTGTTTCAAAATAAAAAAGGGGCTGGAGGTATGGCTCAATGGTAGAGTGCTCCTGGGTTCTATCCCTAGTACCACACACACAAACACAAATTGTGTACAAAGTTTGTAACATGCAGTAGTTCTGTTCATGAAAATAAAATAATTTGAGGGATAACATTTAGTGTAATTAAAAAAAGAACATTTAGTGTAATTGAGGTTCAGATTATTGTTCTTGTCTTCAAAATCAGTTGCAAACATTTGCTTGTCAAGGCTGAATGTGGTGAAAGCTAGTGTACCTTGTCACCTGGAAGGCACTTGTGCGCTGCTGGACACCAACAGATTGCTACATGGTACAGCACTTACTTCAAGTCCAGGGTTGGGTGGCAGCTCCTCTGTCATACATGCGAATGGATTTTGGAATGTGGAAACATCTTCTGTGGTTTTGTTTTGTTTTATTTTGTTGGTTGGTTTAGGGGATCAAACTTGGGACATTGCACTTGCTAGGCAGGTGCTCATGTTGCTGAGCTATATCCCCAGCTGTGTTTTCATCAATGAGTTATAGTTTAAACTTAAAAGATATATCCACTAAACTGGGTGTGGTGATGCGTACCTATAGTCCTAGTTACTGGGGCCTGAGGCAGGAGGATCACCTGAGCCCAGGAGTTTGAGACCAACCTGGACAACATAATGAGACCATATCTTCTAAAACAAAACAAAATTCAAGAGTAGTGGCACACAGCTGTAATCTGAACTCTGGGTAACTGAGGCAGGAATTCAAGACTAACACAGGCAATTTAGTGAATTATTGAAATCCCATCTCAAAAAAATCCAAAAAGGGCCTGGGAATGTAGCACAATGTGAAGGCTCAGAGTTCAATCTTTAAGAAAGAAAGAAGAAGAAAGAAAGAAAGAAAACAAGCAAGCAAGCAATTGCAGTTTTAATCTTGCACAGGAAGTACATAAAGCACTCTGTTATTCAAACAGTATTAATTGTTTTTGGGTTTTTTTTTTTTTTTCAGAACTGGAGATTGAACTCAGGCCCTTGCGCTTGCCAAGGAAGCGCTTACTCTACCGAGCCATCTCCCCAGTCCCTTCAAACAGTATTAATTGTTCAAAGAATGATAATACAGAGCACACTTCACGTGTAAGCAATGCTTCTCCTGTCATTTGAGGTTGAGCACATTAAGAAACATTACGAGGTGTGAAGCAGTAGT